CTTGACCACTTTCAGTAAGGATCGAAATTTGAAGATAATTGGGCTCATCAGGTTCTTGATATGCTGCAAAATGAAGAAAAGCATGAGAATGCTGAATTCCGAGTACAAGAAGTTCAATACATTCAAGCCGAGGTAAACTTTTAAAGTGATGCCTTTTCTTCACATTGCCTATGGCGCCTTTCTCAGGAATCTTGGCTTTTGTTTTGCTTCTTAGGATCTCTTGTTTACCAGTCTGTCAACCTTTCAGTATCATTTTGATAATTCTCTTTTCCTTCTGCAAATGCACTTTCAGGTGAAGATAATAAAGTGTCTTGTAGAAAATATTGTGGTAGACATTTCATTTAATCAGCTTGGTGGATTATGTACTCTTTGTTTCCTTGAAGAGGTTAGTGATGCAAAACCTGCCACTGCATGTGGCCTCTTCATTTTTGGAACCTAGACCTTTTAGGAATTTGTGTAAGCTTTAACCTACCTTAATGTCCATGTGTATAGGTTGATCTTTTGATAAATCAGAACCATTTGTTCAAACGTAGCATCATTTTGATAAAGGCATGGTGTTATTATGAAAGCCGTGTATTGGGTGCCCATCATGGACTTATCTCAACATATGCCCTGGAAACCTTAGTTCTTTACATATTCCATGTTTACAATAATTCCTTTTCTGGACCACTTGAGGTGGCTATTTTTTCCATTCTATTTTTATTTATTTATTATTTTATTTTATCCGCTTATCTTCTGATATCCTTTTCCTATGTAGGTCCTGTATCGTTTTCTTGAGTTCTTTAGCAATTTTGATTGGGAAAAGTTTTGTGTTAGCCTCTGGGGTCCTGTTCCAATTCATTCACTTCCTGACATAGCATGTACTACAATTTATGGGACATCTAGTATTTAACTTTGACCAAGAGTCTTCTACTTGCAGAATCTTTGCCTGTTCTGTAGTCTTAGTTACATTGATTTTTATTTTTTTATTTTTGCAGCCGAACCTCCTCGAAGAGATGGTGGAGAGCTGTTACTTAGCAAATATTTTCTTGATACTTGTAATTCAAGATATGCTGTTTTCTGAGAAAACCAGGACCAATCCTTTGTTTCCAAGCATTTCAATGTAATTGATCCTTTGCTTTTAAGTAACAATCTTGGACGCAGTGTTAGTAAAGGTATTTACATCTATAACTTTTTAGTGATTATTCCTTGTACTTTTTTATGATTCTCTTGATTTCTTTTATTTTACTAATATTATCTTCTCTCGTATGGCAATTCTATGTATCCAACACTATGTTCCGTGCTTTATTGGTCATGAGTTTCTGTCCTCCGCACAAATATTTCATATATTAAATGTCCTTTTCCCCCATCTGATTTCTGTATGTACTATAGAATTCTTTTGAAGGTAGATTACAATGAGCTTTTAAGAGGGTCACTTGATTGAGAACTTATGAAATTGAACTTAAGCCGGTAAAAAGCAAGGTGAAGAGGCTGTTAATGGGGGGGGGGGGGAAGGAAGTCGGTAGTAGACTATGTTAAATGGACTCAGGAGGAGTGAGTGTTTTATATGAGCACGTGCTTGACTTAGGTTCACTCATTTTGAAGGATTTTCATATTTTGGAGATCATAGCCCCATGAGTTAACACGTTAGTGAAAATAAAGAGTGTTGGTAACTTACCTAGGAAACAGTTAGAATCCAAATTTTGATTACTTCATAGTTTTGGCTCTTACTGGAAATTGATATAATTAAGCATATCATGAATGAAAGATGGATACTATAAATTCTGCATGTACAACTATGTAAACCTTTTTGTCAGTTTTAATGATAGAACAGTTTTGTTGGTTTTCTGGTCTACTGTATGCACTGCTAATTGGTTATCTCGTGCATAAAATTAATTTTCTATTTTCCAGGTAATTTCTTTAGGATACGTAGTGCGTTTTCATTTGGAGCTAAAAAGTTGTCAAGATTACTTGATTGTCCCAAAGAGGATTTGTATTATGAAGTAAATCAATTCTTTATGAATACATGGGAAAGGCATGGCTGTGGCCAACGTCCGGATGCACCAAGGAATGATTTGCGTCTCTTGAGATTTCTAAATTCGGACCACACTCATGGATCTGAGAATTTCAGGAACAATTCAAGCAGCAATGGAAACCGTATTTCCCCAGGGCATGAAGTTCAAGCTGAAGGAGTTCAAGTATCAAGTGGTGTTTCCTTACATAATGTCAATCATCCATTGGAAAGCACAATTACTGATGTCTCTATTGCTTTTCATGCAAAAAGCCAGAAGAACTATGGTAGCATGAGCAACTCAAAGACCTCTGATCAGGTTAGGCGGGAAAGTAATTCTAATCAGAATATGCTTAATGATAGAGGCCAGATAATTTCTAAAGCAGAGAATTTGGTGACTGATTTTCAAGGAAAAAATCTATTTCCAAGGACACGATCCAGTCCTGAGCTTACTGAAATTTATGGGGAAGCTACTTCTCAAGGAAGGCAGAACAGGATGCCAGAGAGTGGGAAAACACAGGTTGGTTCTATGCGATCCTTGGTTTTAAAAAGCGTAAAGCGCCCTAAAGCGTAAAGCGCCCTAAAGCGCCTAGGGTCCTAGACGCCGAAGCGCTAAGCGAAAGCGCTCGCTTTATGCACACGAAGCGCCAAAAAGGCCGAAATTCACAAAAAAATACATAATATTTATAAATTATCTTATAAATACTTAAATATCAAAGTGTCAATGCATATATTCAAAACTTATAAGTACTTAAACACCAAAATATAATTCTCAATTTACTTATAAGTTATAAACACTTAAATATTTATATACCATTAACCATACGACTATACGAGTATATTAATCTCAAAAGATGGTCTACACCAAAAGTAGTCTAAAGTGAGATGAACAAAAGTATTTTTCTAAACCCTCAATTCCTTATAACTAAAAATCCTCTAAATCGTCATCAACTCGGTCAACACCATTTCCTTCATCACTAGACACTCCAATATCTTCTTCCATCTCATCTTCATCAACTAAGCATCTACGAGATGGTCTACTAGTGATAGGATTATGAGCAGGAGATTTTCCTTTATCATTTCTCGATGGTCCAGCTCCATCATTCACTACTTTTGATGCTCTAGTTAGATAACTAGGCTCATATGCACCGGAAGCGTTAGCAACATCATTGCATGTCAAATCCTCACCAACAAACATCGCCTCATCATCATCTTCCATTCTTCCCATCAACCACTCATTGCTCTCATCAATATCTTGCAAAAGAATGGGATCGATCTCCTTACTTTAGCTCGGCGCTCCAAGGAACGATTGAATTTCACAAACACCATGTCATTCAATCTAGACTGTGCTAATCTATTTCGTTTCTTAGTGTGAAGCTACAAGAAAAAAACCAAAACTGGATGTTAGCAACATTATGCATATATATATATATATTCCAGCAATATTATTAAGAAAAACATGTAAAAATAACTTACTTGTTGAAAAACACTCCAGTTTCTCTCAGAACTTGTAGCACTACAAGTGAGACTAAGAATCCGTATAGCAAACTTTTTCAAGTTAGGAGCCGAAGATCCATACATTGTCCACCAATCAGCTATAAAAAAATGTAAAATGAACATGAAGCATAAACTATATTTGAGAGAATAATTAATATAATTTAAAACTTAAAATATAAAGTAGCATTTTTTTACCTGGTGATTTTGTTTTCCTTTGCCTAACAGCCAAGCTAATACCAAAGAGACCTTCTGCCTTTCGGTATTTAACTAACTCGTCTGAAATCTTGTCTTGAGTTTCTTGGTCGCGAACAAGCCTCAACATGCATTCATAAAAACCGTTTTCAACTTCTTCACAAAGCACACCACCAACTTCATCATAAAAGATCCCTGGGTTCAAGAAATGTCCCGCAGCATGCAAAGGTTTATGTAGTTGACATTCCCACCTATGATCTATAATTTCAAAAGCTTTCTTGTAATCATCCTCTCGATTCGGAAAACTATCACGAATCGCCTCTTTAGCTCTATCCATTGCATCATAGATGTACCCCATGGCTGGATTTTTTTCTCCATCAACTAGTCTAAGAACTTTCACTAAGGGGCCCGTCAACTTGAGAGAATAAAGTACATTCCTCCAAAACGTTTCTTGCAAAAAGTAAGACTTTATTTTCTTACCCGTGGGTTCTTAAGACCACTTGCTCGCTTCCCACTCTTGAGAAGTCACCATCTTCCTCAAATTGTTTTTTTTGTTTGTGGATCTGGGCAAGAGTGATGAAGTAAGTAGCAAATCTTGTGATGGCCGGTCTATGCAAGTTTCTTTGGTTTGTGAACTTTCTCATCAAGTTCACCAAACCAACATGACTATATATATATCCATTTGAGTAAATGGCCTTTTTTAAAGCATTTTTAACCCTAGGAATGTGTTTGCCAATATCCTCCAACATCAAGTCTAGGCAGTGTGCAGCACATGGTGTCCAATAGAGATGTGGTCTTTTAGCTTCCAACAACTTCCCTACAAAGTTAGAGGAATAAGATGAGTAGATGACATTAGACAAAAGATTATCAAAAGACTAAAGTTGCAACTCAACTCTTACCTGCCTTCACATAAGCTGATGCATTATCAGTCACCACCTGCACCACATTCTCTTCACCAACTTCCTCCACCATTTTATCAAGAGCATGAAACAACAAATCAGCATCCTTTGAAACATCAGATACATCAAGTGACTTCACGAAGACCGAACCCTTTGGGGAGTTTACCAAGAAGTTGATGATATCTTTTTGAACAACGGAATCACGCCATCCATCTGATAGTATTGAACAACCTTTTTCTGCCCATTCTTTCTTATTTTCCACAATTTGGTTTTGAACTTCCTCTACTTCCTTGTTAAGTATGTGAACTCTTAACTCGTACATACTTGGTGCTTTCATCCCGGGGCCAAACTGTCCGATTGCTTCAATCATTATTTAAAAACTCTCATATGTTGCGGCATTAAAAGGAATACCTACATAAAAAAATATTTCCATCAGCATAAACAAATAAAAAAGACTTCCAGCAACTTAAAACTCAAAAAACATTAAATATTTAATTATTTATAATACCTGCATCGTAAAACCACCTCCCAATCTCATGACAAACTTTATCCCTAAGGTCCTTTCGACATGTTTCATTGATGGTTTGTTGTCTCCCTTCCTTCCTAGCTTTGATTGCTTCTCGAGGATTAGGAGTGAAGTACATGTCCATAGGACCTTTTTGCCTTGGTTTTTTGGGTGGGGGCATCTTGCTACTACGACCGCCTATTTCAACATCTTCTTCTTCACCATCGTATTCATCATCTTGTTGTTGGTGCATCCAGTTTTTTGCTTGCATATGTTGTTCTGCCTTTGCCGTTTGTTTCTTCATCATGAACACATTTAATTCTTCCCGCACATGCTCCGGACAGTTTGGACATTTACGAGCATCCTTAAAACCACCAATCATATGCAGTTTGATCCGAAACACACCTCCCTTAAATGTTTGTCCACAAAAAGAGCATGTAAAGCTGATTTTATTATTCGGATCTTGTATTGTATATTTCCTAACCGGGTCTTCTGACCCGTTCTTTGAAGAACCCGCCTTACCCGCCATTGAAGTCATTCTATAAAAGATAAATTAAACATAAAGTCAAACTAAAATAACAAGTCAAACTAAAATAACAGAAAGCAATACCAGTAATCCAGTATACAAAGTTACAAACTATACCAGTAAGGCAGTAACAACTATAAAACAGTTTAACAAGCATTTTGCTTGCCTTAGTCTACATGTAAAATTCAGCAATACTAAGTACTTAAAGAAGGAGAAAGCAATAAGCTATAAAGAAGAACAGTATTCTATAAACTATAAAACACAATTTTGCAATAAACTATATGTATATAAACAACAGAATTACGTACCGGTTGATGAAGTGCAGCAGCAGCGTGACTCGAGTGAGATGAGAGGAAGATGATGATCAAAACTTGAGTCGTGTCTCGTGAGTCAGGAGTCGTGAGCGTGAGGCGAGAGGCGAGAGGCGTGGAAGATGATCGCTCTCTGTGAATTTTTTACCGCTCAAGCTCAACCTCAATCGTTCTCTAAACTCTTATATTACCGCTTATTTCAATCACATTTTTTACCCTAGCCCACCTAAACTAAAAGCCAATCTAAGTCTGATAATCTAATAGCCCGCTAAACCCTAAACAAGCCCAAAAATTGTATATGCTAAAGCCCAGAATCCTATCTTCTAAATTCGCGATTAAGCGCAAAGCGCTGTAAAAGCGCCGATTACTACCGCTTAATGAATTCGTAGTGCTTTCGCTATGCTGAAGCGCCAGAGGCCTTGCTCGAGTCGCTTAGCGCTTTAATCGTGCTTAAGCGGCGCTTTTTTAAACTAAGATGCGATCAGATGATAATGGGAGGAAGATCATGGAATCTATTACTGTGGCGATCAATAACATTAAATCTTCATGTGATGATCCAATTGAGCCTAGGAGTAACTTCGGTTCTCAAGAAACTAATCCTGGGGAAGTGGAAGATGAGTTATGGCTTGAACAGGAAAGATGCTCTAATGGTGATTTTGATCTTGATAATAGAAGGTTTGACATGCTTCAGTCAGATGATAAGCAGCTTTCAACTTCTGCAGGCTCTAAGGTTGATATCTCCGGTAGTTCTACTAAAGCCCAACAGAAGTTTACTAAAGAAACTCGAGTATCAAGACTAGAAGATCATCTAGATGTTTTCCAATATCAAGATAATAGAGCTGATGTTTGTTTAGATGAAAGAACTGCAAGTTCTGGATACATGCCTGCTTCACATATTAGTTCAATCAGAAGCAAAACCTCACCAGAAAATTGTTGGGAAGGCTCATCAGCATGGGTCTCTCAGCCCGCTGGGGAGGAACGAGATAGGAAACCAGCTGCTTCTGTGCTTCCTTCTGTAGCATGTGGGAATGGTAAGAGTGTATCTGAACATTCCTCACAGGTAGATGATGACAATCTGCCATCAATAGTGGGCACTGAAATGGCTGAACGAACTGTTGGATCTCAACTGGGTGGTGTGTTGCCTGTTCAAAAGCAACAAATGCTTGGATTTGAGGAAGCTCAGACGAACGGATCAGATCCACTAATACATAATGCTCCATTCCTCTTAGGTCCAGATTCAGGCCAAAGAACAGTGGATAATTCTGGAGCACCCTCCTTGGCCTTCACGATAGCAGGACCACCAGTTCCATTTTTGTTTTGTCCTGTGTACAACATTCCAGAAGAAACAGGAACTCCAGATGCATCAACAAGCCCTTTTAGTTGGGATGAAGGTTTGGATAACAACGGTTCTGGTAAAATTTTTGAATCATCTGAGGGACTTGATCAGTCTGCGGTGTTAAGTACATCTAGTTCTATGAGAAAGGTTTCATCTCTTGAGCCATCAGAGCATAAGTCTGACATTCTTGACGGTGACATTGCTACGCATTGGCAAAATTTGCAGAATGGACAGTTTTGCCAAAATTTTAGAAATCCTCCAAATTTGATTTATCCTTCACCCATTGTGGTGCCACCGGTCTATTTACAAGGTCATTTCCCATGGGATGGGCCCGGGAGACCTCTTTCCTCCAACATGAATCTCTTTTCTCAACTTACAAGTTATGAGCCTCGCATTTTTCCTGTTACTCCCCTCCAATCTGTTTCGAACAGACCTTCCAATGTATTCCCAAGGTATGTTGATGGAATGCCAAGATATCGCAGTGGAACGGGGACATTCCTGCCAAACCCTGTAAGTGACTTTGACAATCTGTTATGTTTCTTCATTACTTTAAATATCTGCCCTGAACTTTGCATGCTTTGAGAGTAAGGTTGGTTACGTAGTCCTGTTTTTCCCATTCCTCATTAATTGGGTATGCATGGCCATAGTGAACAATCATTTGAATGCAGAGCTATATTGGCCATAAGATACGACTACATTAATCTGTTTCATCATTATTTTGAAGTGATCTTAATATTGTTTAGTTCCCATTTCTGTGTCATTCAGCCTCGAGAACTCGAGCCTTCAATAACTTTGTATATGAATTTTCTCTACTTCAGAGATTCTCAATGAGAGAACGCTATTCTGCCAACACAAGAAGGGGGAAATATAATTATGACAGAAATGACCACCATGGTGATAAAGAAGGGAACTGGAATGCCAATACCAAGTCGCGGGCTGCTGGGCACAGCCATGGTCGCAACCAAAATGAAAAGTCAAGGTTCATATTTGACCAATTTGCAGCTGTTGCTGGTGAGAGCAGAGCTGAGCGGTCTTGGGGCTCACATAGACATGATTCATTTACTTCGTACCAGTCTCGGAATGGACTGGTCCGCTTAAGCTCTTCACAAAGTAGTTCTGCCGGCATGCCATATGGCATGTACCCACTACCATCCATGAACTCGAATGGGGTGTCATCTAATGGACCTAGTACCATCCCATCTGTTGTCATGATGTATCCATATGATCATAATTCTAGTTATGATAACCCTGATGAACAACTTGAATTTGGCTCTCTTGGGGGTTTCACCGGCATGAATGAAGTATCACAGCTAAGTGATGGAAGTAGCTCAACTGGAGTGTATGATGAGCAAAGGTTTTATGGTTGCTCTGCACAACGGTCATCTCCGGACCAACCTTCGCCTATCTCCAAAGGTAGCAAACCAGTCGGCTTAAAAACTTCTCTGCACATATGTATGCTAGTGTCTGACTGCCTGCCTTCAATACTCTGATTTTATTCTTCTTCCATTTGTTTCGATCTGATTGTTTTCTATCGCTCCCATTTATTATCTTAACGGCGTATTTTGATCTCATTGCTGGATCCATATCCTAGAAGAGTCGCAATCGAAAGGTGAGGATTCCCGAGCCCTTGCTTTTCCATACGATGAGGGCAATACGAATAATGTGAAAACCTCCCCTTATCACGTTTTTCTTCTCATCTCACTCATTAAAGCAAGAAGTGGGTTTTCTGATTCAATGATTCCTAGTGGATTTTCCTCACAAGATGGTGTCATCCATGCTTCTTGGCTTGTGCTTGTTTGTACACTATGACTGTCAAAAACCGTTTTCGAAAATGCTCGATTTTTCGAGGACAGTGGCGGGGTAACGACGAAAGGAATGCAGGATTCAGAACAGTAGTTGGTGTTTTAATTTAGGGTTCTACACATTGTAACTGAAATAGGGTCTCTCTCGTAGTACAACTCAGTTCTATCTATCATTTATAAACCCTAGTGATTAGGATTTATTTCCATCATGGTAATAGGTTTTTTTTTACCTTTATAGATTCAGTCTAACTAGCTATCAATTTTGTTAAACTTTCTTGTTGAAAGTTACCATTGTATTAATAACAATTACATGGTAAAAAAAAAAAAAAGAGTTGATCAAAGAAACAAAAACTAGATGGTTCTTGCCTTGGAATGATATCTTCAATATTATAGAAATTTATATTTAATCAGTTCAAATTATTAGTGTATGGAATTATATAAATATAATAATTTATATTTTAAATAAAATTGTAAAAGAATAAAATGTTCTTGCCGGACAAAAAAATTATAAAGTATAAAACAGTACAAATATGTAAAAAGTAATTTTCATTTATGGAATTGTAAATAAATAGAATTTATTTTTTTAATATTTATTTATTTATTTTATTTTTAATTTATTTAAATTTGGCTCGTATTTATTAGAACTTTCAGAATTATGCCAAAGTTCTGTTAAATTAAAATTAGATTGGTTTGAAATCATTCATTCAAATTGAATGAACACTAAACAGTCAATCTAATAAACATATTTCTCACCTTTATATATAAAATATCAAATAATATAAATATAAATATAAATATATTAATTAAAATTATAAAATGCAAAATAAAAATAAATAATAATGAATTAACTAGGTAAATTATAGAAATCATCATTTAACTTTCTTTGCACCCTCATTTTGGGTGACTAAAGTTAAAATTTTCCATTTAAATGAATGTTCAAATTGCTCCGGTTATGGTCACTCTGTCGCAAGTCCCGAAAAATTGAGGGATTAATTTTAGGGGGTCGTTTTGACTTAAAATAAAACATGGTTCTAGGGAGTCGCCACCAATCTTTGTTTAGGGTGTGATTGGATCGCCCAAAAAATGTTTCCATTTTAATAAAATTTAATTTTAAAAATTATTAAAACGACTTTTAGGTCTACTTTCCAGAGAAACAAGTTTGGGAGTCGATTACGTGTGGGGAAGGATTAGCGTCCCACAACACTCAGAAATCGATACCTATTCAATTAATTACTGTCTTTGTAATGCAATTTATGAATTTGAATTTAACTAATAATCCCTTTTTATTTAAATAAACACGATGATACTTAATCTATTATGATCTAAGAAAAAGGTTAACAATTCGTGTTTATAACCAGAGAAAGTAGACCACCTAATATAGGATAGGGTGGAATCCCTTTCATTTTCGACCAAAAACTATGAATCATTAATTTTCCTTAGAAGATCTTAAAATTAAATTGTCAATATTTTAATATTTCGAATCAAAGAGGATCACCACCTAATATAAAGTAGAGTGGCAATTTCTCATATTATATATTATAATTTTCAAAATTATATATTATATATGTATTTATATTAAAACTATATATATTATAAATTCAAAACTATATATATAAAGTATAATTTTAAATGTATAAATTTTCAAAACCTTATATATTTAAAACACTTATACATTATATATAGATTTAAGAAGTACATGACTATTTAATGACTCTGGATGAAAATTGGCATATACAAACTCCACAGTTAAATAATTAATGATGTTATGACATAACATACGAAATGAAAAAAGTCATTTTTTATTTCTATAAAATTTAATTTTTTTTCTCTTCTTTTCATTTCCATATTTTCCTCTCTTTTTCTTTTTTATTTGTCTAAATCTTGACCACCGCTTACTATAATTGGTCACCATATCGATCATCGTCAATTGCGATAAATGAATCCCAAAATTTTTCACCGAACACATTTTGTCCTTATGAACACGAATTCAATATACGTTTAACCATAAACCATCTCAAAGTTCATGAATCTAACGCCATTGTTTCCTCATTCATTTTTATGGTTGAACCACCACTTGAATTGAACCATAAGCCTTTGGAATCCATCTTTTTTAATCAAAACCTTGTTATATTTGATCAGCACGTTCTTTTTCTCGTTATTTCTTTACGTTTAACCGTTCAGATTTTTTGGTGGGGCTTTGACCATTCAAGAACTCAAAAACTAAAGGATGAGTTTCCTATGTCAACTTTTATTTACAAATCACACGATCAAGATTAATTTGGTTAGGATACATGAAAGATAATATATTTAATATTGGCAGTAAGAAACGCCTTTCAATGTAAGTTTCATTATTCATTTAATTCTAATATAATGTTTTCTTATCATCGAATTAATTGGGATGTAGTTCAAATGGTAGAGCGCTCGCTTTGTATGCGAGAAGAAGAACGTTCAAAACAGTAATAAATCTAAACCATTTTTGCTTCTTCAACTCAACCTTCGGTTACCAAATTTTAAAGTTTGGTGATTATCTTCAGCTCTCTCCAATAAGTTGGTTCATCCAATCAACGATACAAAATTTTACATCATCTCCAAACATGTAATACGACCACACAGACCACGGTGAAAGTACATGTGTCTTCGGGTTTCATAATATTCTCAAATAAGCAATATTATTTACCACATTCTCTTATATTGTCTCGTACTCTCGAGTATGTGTGCAAATGTACAGAGCGTTCAGTAAACTGTTTGTATAACATTCGATTATGTTTATTTGTTAAGTTAAATAAACGACTATGTTCATATAATAAACGAACGAATATGAACAAAGGTGTATTTTGTTCGATTACATTCATGAACAAACTTATTTATGAGCTTGTTTATTGACTTGTTCGTTTATGTTCATGAACAAACTAGTTTACTTTTTATTCTTTTTACATTTTATATATTGGTAAATGTAGGGACTAAATTAAACACGTGATACAATTTAGAGTTTAAAGATTGCATTTTGTTGTTGTTGTTGTGGATGTTATATAAGATTTATTTAGTTGGTTTTGTTTAATTTTTGAATATATAAATGAATATGTTTGCAAATGCTAAACGAACGGACACCTTTAAGAATAAATAAACAAATACGAACATGATATTAAAAATTTAAACAAACATGAATCGAAACTGAACACCTTTAAAAGTAAACAAACAAACACAAACATAATTCTATTAGTTCAAATTTGATTTACACCCATACTCATGAGTTAAATCTTGATACGAGATAATGTTGTGTTTGACGATATAGAAGACCACAACGAATCAAATTTTTCTTGTGGATGGTTTATGACAAGACTTATAACTAACAATGAGTAGTGTTGAATAATGGGGTAAAGAAAACGAAAAGAACATAACAATTTTAACGAGGTTTAGCAATGTACTTATGTCCTCGGTGCCCTGGGTGGTGCTAGATTTTTCATTTGATATGTCACAGGTTTTGGTTACATCTCCTTTATAATAAATAAACTCTGATACATATTTACAAAAATAACCCTGAACCGTACTGCGGGAACCCACAACCCATATAATCGTAACCCCCACTACAAGACTTTCTTTGTTACCGGTATATTTATGAGTCATACCTAACAAGTAGGGATAGGTACGTGATCTAGATAGGTATAGGATCCGAATTTGATGGGTTTTAATCCAGTCTCGCTTTATTGGGTGGGGTTTAAAAAAAAAAAATTAGGTCGAATTAGGTTTAGATTTAGAGTGAAATATACTTGACCTGATCTGCCTGAAGGCCTAATTTTTATTAAATAAAAATAATAATTTTATAAATATATTTGTTTGGGGTTGGATTGAATTCGAATTTTGTCTCGAAAAGATAGATGAAGTTCATGAATACTCAATTTAGAGTTTAATGTCAAGAAATTCAATCAAAAGGAAGGCATGTATTTTATTTAGTGCAATCAAATACAAGGGCTTTATTATAGATAATTTTATGAAAATTTGTAAGGCAATGCGCTTCATTGCTTAAATGTCCATTACTCCATTATTAGGGTTTCTTATTCATTAGGCATCCTCTTGATTTGCTCATTTCCCAACCCTACCTCTTCATGCCCTGAAAGAAAGAAAGAAAAAGCATCAACAACTGATGTTATGATATTTGGAATTGATTCGAGATAAAAATTAAATTACTCAAATTCATTTAATTATATATGAATTTATTCATTTTCTTAATTTCGAAATCAATTATCTCTACTAATTAAAAATAATAAAATTTGATTAGATTCATTAACTACTTGAATTGAACATAAAAAAAAATTAATAGATCAATCATCACGTGTACCATACACAATTATCATACGCGACATGATATAAGTACTACTCGATCTCATGTACTATACAAGTCCACCATACTTTATAAAACGACCCCTCATTTCAACACATAAGAGTAGAGATATAACTAACTCATTTGAGTGGTCTTAGTGGTTAAAAAGAGTTTTGTTTTCATTAGAGGTTATGAGTTCGAACAGCTGTGTTTGTAGGGTGCGTTTTCAAATCAAAATTTATTGAATTATAAGTGAAAGATGGGGGATTAGGGAAGAGAATGCCTACGTGGAACAATCAGTAGAGGCATCAATAGGAGGAATTGAAATATCGATACTGCAATCCTGGCCAATAAGGGGCACTCGGTTAGGGTCATACGGCCCAATTCTGGGCAATACTCCTTTAAGACACTCGCATACAGCTTGTCTATCTTCTTCGCCACTTACTTGCCCAGCAAGGTTTCTGGCACCGGAACAGCATTCCGCTACAGGAGCCGCTCCGCCCTTGATGAAGCCGAGGCACGGGGTTAATGACGCTACAACATTGTTGCACGGAGGTGCGGCTGCGATTTTCATAAAATCCGGCGTAGTTATGAGAAAGACGAACATGGCTACAAATTTGATTGAGCGATACATGATGGCAAATCTATTTTTTTTCGTTGATCTTGTTGTTGTTTACTTTGAAGCCTATGCCCATATATATATATATATATATATATGAATGAGTATGGATTGAGTTGGGTTTTGACGGGACGAGCATAATATTTTATGCTAAAGGTGAATTAATAATATTTTGTGGATGATGAATTTATAAAATTTTAGGAGTAAATACAAATTATCAATAAAAATATAAAAAAAACTAAAATATATGGCGATCGCCTCTAACTTCCCCTCAGTTAATCATTGGACTTATATATAATTCATTTATTAGGTAAAATAGGGACCTAATTTAAAAAAATAGAGAGAGATGAGCATTATTGTAATTATCTCTAAATATTTAAATGATAATTATCTTACCATCTCATATTAAATTGTGTATTTTTACTTAAATTCAATCCAAACTTGAATTGTTTTTAAAAGAATCATTCACGAACTCAAATTTAAAAATTCAATATTATAGTGTCATGTCAGATCGAAATCCATCGAGTTCAGGTCATGTATATATATGGACTAGGATTCAATTACATATTGTAAAAGTAAAATATTTTACACCCTTTTAAGATCGTTGGATGAGGAAAACTCACCCTTTGATTTCCTTCATCTAACGATTATAAAAGAGTGTAAAACTAAAAGTTTTACGGTAGGGGTAAGGTGATCCAATTACACAATTTAAAACTTTTTTATTTTACACATATTTAGAACCGTTTGATGAATGGAAATATATTAACATTCCAAAAAAAACTGAAAAAATGAGTAAATCATAATTATTATTTTACTCATTTAACAATTTATGTAAAATTAAGAAAATATATTATATAAGTGGATGATACGTATAAATCTCTAAATCAAAAGTTATCATACGTTTTTTTAATGTTATAGAAACAATGTTATCAACTGGATTAAGATGAAAAATTAGATTTTTTGAAATGCAAGTCTCGTGATTGCATGTTTTGCGGCACATTAGATCTAATATTAAGATAAAATCCATGGTCGGAGTTGCGTGGACACGTAGGCCAAGCACTTAATTGCCGTTGTCACACTTCCTACTCGATCTTGAAATATGCCAAACATAGGTTTGTCGAAATGATTAAGGCCTAACTTGGCAGGGTTTTGGAAAATATTTTTATAAGGTAGTAGGAAAGAATTATTAAAAGTATTGTTTAAGAGTGTAATTTAAAATTTAATTGTTTAAAATTATTGTTAAAAAATAATTTAAAAAGATAAAATATTCATTATACACATTATGTCTAAAAAGATAAAATAAGTTTAAAATTTAATCGTTTGAGAAATTATTATTATATATAAAATATATTAATTTTAAAATATAAAAAAATATAAAAAATACAAATAAAATAAATATTTATAATAAAAATATTTTTATAATATTTTAATAATAACTCACTATTAATATTTTAATATATAAATCATGAATTTTATTTATTTTTAAGTAATTAAAATAAATTATTAAGTAATAAATTATTTATTTAAGGATGTTACTATTAAATCATAAAATAAAATATAAATACAGAATTGAGTGGAGTCCATGTATTAGGGTAAAATTATAATTTGCTTCCAAACGTAAAATTGAAAATAGAAAGACTAAAAGGTCTAGCTTTTGCGATTGGTTTGAAATCACCATTTTAACGCAATTGTTTTCCCCCCCCCCATTTTTTACCCGTTTAGTATAGGTTTCACAGTCAAAACGAAATTTTTAATTAAAAATGTTTTTAAAATGACAAACCAAACAAGGTTTAATAAATTTTAAAAATATGTACATTCTTAGATTTTATTATTATTATTTTAATATATATATATATATATATATCGTAAACTTTCAATTAAATTTTTTAAAAATAATATGTTAAAAATATTATTCAAATTCTATTTAATTCGATCTAAAAAAATTTACGGTAAAACTCATTAGTTGAAAATTTAAAATTTAAAAAAGAAAAATCTATGATGTACACAAAGGCTCTTGGATCTAAGATCGTAACCCATCGTTGATCTTGCCGAGAGAAGCCTTTGTGATACAATACAAGTTTATTTTCTACGGTTCTTTTGTCTGTATACTTATAAATATGTACTTCAAGAGTTTTTAGAGGTTATGTGAGGGAAAAAAGTGATTTAATACATATTAGTGCTCATGTATCACGATTGGTATGATTTATGTCATCTCTCTTATAATCTATTTTTTAATATTATGAAATTTATTTTTTTTACACATACTTTTTGTGTTTAAATTTTTTCACGTAAATTTTTGTATTTTTATGTTATAATCTTATTTGTTTGCTTAACATTATCTTCTTGATTTCATAATATTATCTATCATTTTATTCTTTTGAAAAAAAAAATATTATTGTTCCTCTATGCATATCTAAATATTAATTTTTAGCTATAAAAGATATATAATTTCTTTAATATTATAAATGAGATAATTCTAGTTATTTTAAAATATTATTGAGTTCCGCAATGAAAGTCTCGTGTTAAATTTAACTTGATGTGTTAAAAGAAAAAAGAAAAAAATTACAATTTTTGCATACCCGTTATTTTTAAGAAAAAAAATTAAAATTTTAGACCCTCATTTTTAAATTTATGAATCCGTCACTGGTTGAAACATTCAGATGAGGAAACTCACGATGGAAATGACGTGAAAACATATAATAGACCAAGCTTGAAATACTGTGAGACCAAACGAAATGATTAAATAGCCTTTAAATATAAGTCAAGTCAGTTTCGTAATTTCATTTAACAAAATTATTTTTCGTTTAAATTTAATTATAAAAATAACTTGGTTAAATTTTAAAATAATAAAATAAAATTTTCGTGTTGGTGGGGAAAACAAAAATTAAAATACTCTTAAACTCGACAAACAATGTACATTAAAAAAACAATATCAAAGCAAAATCCTATGGCTTGAGATCTCTCTCTTTTTTTAATTATTAAAAGGGAAAGGGTTAGAAGTAAGAAACAAACCAGTTTTGGATGATGAGGAGAGAAACTAAAGGATTGTTTGTTTACTTCAGAATGATTAAGCGCTGAATGATTCAAATACTGAATGATTCAGAGGCTCTGTATGAATTAGCTCTGAATGTGACATGTTGTTTGATAATGGCTCTGAATCAATCATAATGTACATCTGTGCTGAATCATTCAACACTATTTTGCTGAATCAGTCAGCACTGAATCATTCAGAGCTGCAAAACAAACGCACTGAATGTTGAGCGGCTCAATATTCAGCTTTGAATGGTTCCATTAAGAGACAAACAAACAACCACTAAGTTGTGCAGTTCATTCAGGTTCAGAAGAGCTTGTGTGAGATTCTAATTGAAATTACTTCCCCTTCAGCTTCAGCTCCGGCTCTCATGGCATGGTACTTCATTAGAACTCCTTGGATAAACAAAATATCAATGTTTCAAACTTTACATCAACTAGGGTAAACTGCATGTTTAACACTTCAACTATCACTTTTGTTCCATTTTGGTCACTCAATTATTTTTTTCTCAAAATCATGTCTAACATCTAGATTTTATTACATTTTGGTCACCCGTTGTAACAGAGATATTGACTTGTTACCATAAGGCAATGTCAATCATCATTGAAAAAAATAAAGAAAATATCACGTTAGCAGTTCTGTTAAATTTTTCACGGTGAGTGACTAAAATGAAACTAAAACGTAATATTAGGTATGATTTTTAAAAAAATAGTTGATTGATCAAAACAAAACAAAAGTGAAAGTTAGGGTCGTGTATTAAACTTGTAGTTTACCTTTTTCTAAACTATACAAGAATTGCATATTGAGGACTTCTTACCTTGATTTTCTTGTAAATTGGTGTTGATTGCAACTGCATGAAGAGCAATTATCGCTTTTGGTTGAAAATCATTGGGTTGTCCTATCCATGACTTGTAATCGAAGATCCCTGTTAAGTTCATTAGCAAAACTGAATCAGATCCCCAAACTTTTTATTTTTTCCATTTCGAATAGTCATAATTTATCTGTGTTCGGATTCGAAGATCTTCTATATATAGCAAATAATTAAAAAAACTGAAGATGTCCACGTCGGACATACACAAATTTCACATAAGGCATAAGAATAAAATTTTACCGGCTGTTGAGTTTCTTGTGAGGTATTTGAAGTCGAAAATGGCCCCATAAGCTCCTCGTACTGCCTTTTTGATTTCATGTGATCCAATGAGTTCATAGTCCCAACTTCTATCCTGGTACCCCTGGCTATGGAACAACTCAATGTGCCTTGCATCTAACATCTGCATTGTTCCTACATAAACAAAAAATGTTTGGCAATTTACATTACTCAGATTTTTCATTTTTCATAAAGTATTTGTATCTGACACTCATAATCAATGTATAACCAAACATCATATATGATTCTGTTATGAATCAAACCAGAGAAAACCAAAAAAGGAAGAGAGGGAATTGAAAGTATATTTAAGTTGGAAATAAAATTCAAGGGTTATAGATGCCTTCACGTTTTACATGCTGCTTTATTTATATTTTTTTAAATCCTCAATAGCGGACAAAATTTGTTAACGCCTGGGGTGTCTCTCTCTCTCTTAAACTTCTACGAATTTCTCGGTTGTCTTTGGTTACTGCTTCTGCATTGTCAGCTCCTCCTAGATATTCATTCTCATTTCTTGATGTTGTTATCTCAACTCCTTCCATACAGTACCCCCTCTTGAAAGAATGACCTTGTCCTCAAGGTTCTCAGTTGGTGCAGGTGGAACAAAGTCCTTTGTTATCAAAGGCAAAGGAGTGATTTGTTAAAGAGGCTGGCCCTTACAAGGTTTGAGTTGGGACACATGAAATATTGGATGGATACGAGCGGACTCTGGGAGTTCTAGCTTGTAAGCGACAGATCCAATGCGTTTTGTAACTCAGTCGTGGACCAAGCTTCTGATTTTTCCGTAGTCGTAACAACAATTGTCTATAAGGT